GTAGAGAGCAATAAATAAATGAAAAATAAAAAATAAAGGGAGTGATGGGGAGGAGAGGGGAAATTCCAACTAAAACTTGAATGACCAAGATGAAAAAGGAAGGCAGGCCCTGGAGAAGGAGCATTTCAGGTAAAGGGAACAGTAAGTGCAAAAGCCCTGGGGTAGCAATGAGCTTGGCATAGTTCAGTAGCCAAAAGAAGGCTGGTGTGGTGGACTGAAGCATGGGTTGTGAGGAGAGAGACTGAAAAGGGGATGTTGGAGAAGAGACAGGATCAGAGAGAGTCTCAGAGGAACTAGGATTTCATTAGAGTACTGAGCCCTGTGAAAGAGTTTTAAGCTAGGTAGTTACTCCATCAGCTCTGTCTTGGAAATAGACCCTTCTAGGTGCTGAGGGGAATAGGTTGAGGGTTGGTGGCTAAGAGTGGAGTCTGGGAGCTCCCCCGGGAAGGCATACAGGAGGTTATGTGGCCATGGGGATTGTGGACTGACTGGTGAGGCCCAGAACAAAGTCCAGGGTTCTTGATGGGGACACAGAAGAGGAGCACATTTAGGGACCAATTTGGTTGTGGCACTTCTGCAACGTCCAACTGGTCTGAAGTGGCTGCTGCATCTGGGGCTGGAACTCAGGAGAGAGAGACTCAGGCACAGGTGTGGAGAGTGAGGCAGTCCCTGCTCAACTCCAGGTGTGCCGCGCACTGCCCCGGATGGCCTTGCCCCATTCTGTGACCCCGGAGATGCGTGCGGTGGTGGTGGACTGGCTGATTCAGGTGCACGTATGTATGTAGCAGGAAGGGTGCAGGGTTGGGCCTGTGTGGCTGCCTGGTTGTCACCCATGCCCCTCCCCAGGAGTTCTTGGGCCTGGCGGGGGATACGCTTTACCTGGCTGTGCATCTGCTCGATTCCTACCTGTGTGCAGGCAGAGTGCGCCTACACCGCCTGCAGCTACTGGGCGTGGCCTGCCTGTTTGTGGCCTGCAAAATGGAAGAGTGCGTCCTTCCTGAGGTACTTCTGGGTGAGGTTTGGGAGGGAGGACCCCTTGCCGCAGTTATTGATTAAATACCTTCCGTGTGCCAAGCACTGGGCCAAGCACTTTCCGTAGGCATGGGATCTCTGCATATCCGTATGAGGTAGGGGCTGTCAGTGTATCCCGTTAACAAGAGGAGGCAACTAATGTCCAGGGAGAGGAAGATACCCAGATCTTTCTGTCTCAAGCCCATGCTCTTCACAACTTCAGTGGCCCCATTTTACAGACCAGAACACTGGGGTCCTGAAGTTCGACTGAACGGACCTCAGGCGCTCCAAGGCACAGAGTAAAAAGCCAGAGTTCAAGGCATCTCTATCTTCCCAATTCGCAGCCCTCCTCTCTCTGCCTCCTGAGCGCTGACTCCTTTTCTCGGGAGGAGCTGCTACGAGCTGAGCGCCGCATCCTGAGCCGTTTGGATTTCAGGCTGCACCATCCGGGTCCGCTGCTGTGCCTCCGGCTGCAGGCTGCGCTGGCTGGGAGCAGTCCTCAGGTGCGCGGGGAGGGGCGCGGTCCGCGCGGGGAGGGGTGTGGCCTCACGTCTACGTGCCTCATTGGCAGGTGATGCTGCTTGCTACCTACTTTCTGGAGCTGTCCTTGCTGGAGGCAGAGGCCGCGGGATGGGAGCCGGGTCGTCGCGCAGCTGCGGCGCTGAGCCTGGCGCACCACGTGCTCGATGGGGCGGGCTCTAGACCCGAGCCCACTCTTTACAGGTATCACTTTCGCAGAAGGCCTGCAATAGGGTCTCCCCGCCTTCAGGGATCTCTCTTCCTGGCCGCTGTCTTTACCATGTCAGAATGAGAGACATTTATAGGAGTGACCAAGACTTGACTTTTCTGAATGTGGGAGAGAATGGGGTGTCTGTCTAGCCAGAAGGATTTCACTTTTCTCTTGGGGTGTATAAGAGAATGGGGGTGTTTCTCCAGATTTGGGAACACTTAATGGGTCTCCCAGGCCCAGAAGGCTTTAACTGCCTTCTAGTATCTGCACCACCTGTGCACTCCTCACTCTAGTTGAGAATGGATTCTGTGTCTGATCTCAAGACAAACCCTCTGTCACCCCCAGGGACCCATGTAGATGTGTCTACTAAGCCCCGAGCCTTCAGTTCCTAGGATAGGTCATCTCCACCACACCTCTTCTCCCCACCTTGGTTTCTCCATCTCTCTGCTGCAGCCCTGCAGAGCTGGGCCCTCTTCAGGCATGCATGGCCCGCGCTGCACTCCGAGGTCCCACACCGGGCCAGGCTGCAGTCTTCCTCAAGTATGCGCGGCCCCAGCACCAGGGCACCAGCCTCACTGCTGTCCTCCTGCTTGGCTGCCTGCAGTCTGGGCCTCCCTGAGCATGGAGACTCAGCACCCCCTCCCCCAAAACAAAACAGAAAACCCTCAGTGTGTGTCCATCTCCCATCACAATAAAAGTTTTTTTTTTATTCTGAGCCCTCTGTTCCCATTGGACAAGTTCCCCTGCCCACCCTGCATTTGATTGGTCACTTTTTCAAAAGACATTAATTATTTCATTTTATTTGTTATTATTTAAAAATTTGACTAGGAAACAGAGAGAAAGGGAAAGTGAGAAAGCTAGCTGCCAGGTCTGGGATTCAAACCATTCTCAACTTTGTGGGAGTCCAGCACCTTAATCACCACACTATCTGCCAGCCCTAGATTTCTCACTTCTTAGACCTCACATTCCTGTGATTGGTTCTCACCTTGTCCCTTAAGGACTGTGGGAGGATGAAATACAAATTCTGAACTCCTCCACTAGGGAGCACTAGCAGGCTTCCCCCGCTCCTTTTAGCAAACTAAAACAGATCTCTTCATGGTTGGGAAGAAATAGGAGGGATAGGAACTATGGGGAAGTTAGAATGCCCACCTCAGTTATGAACAATGCTACCTCGATGTTGTCAGGCTTCTGATATTATTCAAATGAAGCAAAAAATCTGCAGTTGCATGAACATCTTTGCATTTATATGTTGGTAACTACAATATTTCAATACCTTCCTAATGGTTGCACAAACCTGACATGACACTTATATATTGGTCTGTGAGGGTCATCAATTTGTAAGAGTTCATAGTAAGAGTTTGCAGATGGGGGTGTGACTTAGCCTCTGAAGTGCCACAATGACAATGGAATAACAATAACAACAACCTTGTGGTGGTGGTGGTGCTGGTGTGAAGATACGTTAATATATACACAAAGCTTTAGGATAATGCCTGACACCTAGTATGCTTTGTAGAAGTGTTACCAGTGCATGCTAGCAGGACTGTGTGTTAGGTACGGATATTACCTGTTTGCTACTGTGCCCCAGCACGTAGCCATTTACTAGGTCAGAAGACATTTGTTATGGATAAATGGATCCCCATTTTTTTCCCCTTAAATTTTTGCTATAGGGCACATGCACTCACCAGAGACAGAGAGGGAAAGTGAAGAGACATTCTTCAGGGGAGATGGTCATGCTGAATTCCCTTCTCTTCTAATTTCCTTTCTGGATTTTGGGCATATATGCCTGGAGTGTTTTCAAGCCACCAACTATGAGACTTGAACCACACAGCCTTGTGAGATCCAGCCACCTTAACTCCCACACCACCTTCTAGTTCAGGACTACTAGGTTCCAAAGTACATGGGAGTTTGGTGGTGCAGGGAAGAAGAGGTCTCCATTCCTGAGGTGTTCAAGGTTACGACCCAGGGATGGTGGAGGGACTCTCTCAGCAAAACCATTTTACAGCAAAATACAATAGGAGAGAGGGACAGCTGCTGCTGTTGGGATGGAAGGTTCTGAGTTTAGGTTCTGACCTGTTGGTGGGGGGTCAGCATGGGACCCCAGGGGTGGGGATGTGTGGTATGGGTGAAGGAGGAAGCAGGGAGTGGGAGATACAGGATTGATATTTGGGGATGAGACCCAAGCTAAGCTCTTAGGGAGGAGGGAGTGCTAGTACATAAAACTATTCATTCCATTCATTCAACAACTATATATGGACGCTGATTTAGCCAGGGATTTATAATCACACAACTTAGAGTAATATGGGTGGTAAGAAATACCTTTTACTTGTCCATCATGATTCCAGGCCCTGGCTCAAATAGTTTACCGGCATATGTGATTCAGTCTACACCCACTTGGAGGAAAACTCACTTGTCCCCATGTCACACAGAAGGAAGTCAAAGTAGAGGAGGATCAAGGTACTTGGCCAAGGTTCCAAGCAAAGCAGGCAGCTGAAGAGGACTGAAGGGCAGTCACCTCATACATCATTTTTCTTCCATGATTCCTTTTTTGAACATTCTTTTGTTCTCATGCGGTTCATTCTGGGCTGTCACTGACTGGAGACCCTGCTTTCTCATTGGTTTTCCCACCGAGATGGTGAGCTTTATGAGGGCAAGACCCAGATCTCTCTCATTTATTTTTTAAATTTATTTTTAATTTACATTTAATCACATTTATCTTCACAGTGTACAAAGTTTCTCTTTCCTGCATGAATACCATGCATATCAGTCAAGACAAAGATATTACTTTGTAATCATCAAGAAATAGCTTCTCATTTTTTTGCCAAACGTACTTTCACTTTTTTCCTTCCCCTTCCCCTCTCTCTCTCCTTCCCATACTAAGCTTTTTTTTTTTCACATTTTATTGTAAGATCCCCCTCTGCCTGTACTTCCCAGGCTGTCCACTCTGAGCTACCACTGTCTGTCACTGGCCTCTCTCTCCTCTGGACTGGGTGCCTAGTGAGGATAGAGTCTGAAGTCCCAGCACCACTCAGCACAGAGCTGGGCACAGAAAAGACATACACGAATACATTCGTTTCTGTGTTTTTCATAAACAAATGAATTCCAAGATTGATATTATTGTCTTATCTTACCTATGAGAATACAAAGTTCCAGATAATTTAAATAAGTTGTCCAAGTCATACAACTAGTGAGAAAATGGTCAGGGATTTGGATTTGGGCAGCTTCACTCCATATTCTTAGTTCTCAACCAATATGCCAAATGGCTAGTGGGCTGAAAACCAGCTTTCCTCTAAGTTATATACCCCCCTCCCCCAACCAGCCTCTTCCTTCTGGAAATCTTCGGAAGCTTTGGGCACGGGGGAGGAGAGCAAGGCAGGAGGGTGGGGAGGGTCCGGAGAGTAGGAGTCAGTGAGCGACCAGTTGGAGAATTAGGACTGGGGCTGATTTAAAGGTGAGAGTGGGGAAGCCTTGAGGGGTTTCTCTAGGCCCATAGGGGGCAGCCGGAATCGGGTACGGGAGCTGCGGGGGCGGAGAAAGGGTGGGGACCGGCCCCGCGGGGGGCGATGCGGTAGCTGTAGCAGCGGCCGCAGGAGTTTCCCACAATGCAGCGCAGTGCGCTGTCCCCGGTGCTGATGCTCAGCGCTGCCCCGGAGCCTCCGCCGCGCCCGCCTCCTGCCCTTTCTCCGCCGGGTCCGGGATTGGGCCCGAGCTCCTGCCATGGCTCCGTTCGGCCCGGTCCTGCCCCAGAGCCATCGGGAGGCTTGGGCGCGGCTCTCGACAGCAACCTGAGGGCCGAGGAGGCGGAGGGTCAGCGGTGCTATCGAGAAAAGAAGTTCCGGGAAGCGATCGGCAAGTATCACCGTGCACTGCTACAGCTGAAGGCGGCACAGGGGCCCCGACCTGGCAGCCTGCCCGCCCCCGCCCCCGGGCCCACCACCAGCCCGGGGCCGGCCCGCCTCAGCGAGGAGCAGCGGCGCCTGGTAGAGAACACGGAGGTGGAATGTTATGACTCTCTCACGGGTAGGGGCCATCGGGGGTGCAGAGGGGCATGTGGGAGAGGGGTGGGGAGTGAAGGGCTACCACGAGGCTTTGGGGACGGGAAGGGCGCTACAGGTTCAAGAGATCAGGACTGTGGTCTGTTGAGGGAGAACTCAGAACTTGAACAAGGAATGGAACAAGGAATGGGGGTAGTGGATCCCAGGGATCTTGGTTGGAGAGAGCTGAGTGCAAGAAATGGGCTTTGGTCTAAGTCTCCAGAGCTCCACTCCCCCTGAATTATTCATTCGTCCCTTTGCCACACGAGAACTTAGGTTGAGAAAGGCTTGCCCTGCATGAACCATTCAAAATCCGGTCCCTTGCCTCTGTGAATTGTCCTTAATACTCCAGCCCACCCAAACGTCTGGCTTCTTACTAGAGAGCTGTCTGTGTCTTTCGCGCCCTCTAGAGGCGGCGCAGATGGACTATTCCGAGGGACTAGCAGATTGCACCCCGCACCCCCACCTCCGTAGTTAGAACAGTCCCTTAGGCTGGGTTTCCCGCAGCCTGGAGGCCACGCTCTTGGCGGTTAGGCGGTTCTGGTGTGTGTGTGTGTGTGTGTGTGGGGGGGGTGCCTGCAGGCTCTGAGAGTACTGGTCCCGGCGCCCCCATAGCTTGCCTGCTGCAGTCGGAGCTGGTGAACTATGATCGTGTGCGCGAGTACTGCCTCAAGGTGCTGGAGAAGCAGCAGGGTAACTTCAAGGCCACCTACCGCGCTGGCATTGCCTTCTACCACCTGGGCGACTACGCACGTGCGCTGCGCTACTTGCAGGAGGCCCGCAGCCGGGAGCCCACAGGTGAGGGGCCGGTGAGGTGAGGACTGTGCCCAGGTTAGGGGAAAGGAGCTAGAGTAGAGAGTCTGGCAGGAGGGTCATGGCAAAGACACAGCACCCTCCTCTGGCAGAGCAGCCTTGATAGAGTGCTGGACCACCCAGCAGAGGTTTCCTTCTCCATTCACCTACATCTTCCACACCCTCCATCTTTTTACCCATTATTCACTCACCCATCCCTATATCAGCTGTTCAGATGTCCTCTCAACCCTCCATTCCTCTGACCTTTACCCACCCACTTCTCATCTATTCAGTCTTTGCTCTATCCTGATAGTTTTCACTCACCTCCTCAGCCACCTACCCATCTGGTCACCAATCATCTCTGTTATACACCTCCACTAACTCATTACTCAGTAACACATTCCCATACCCACTTTTTTTTTTTTTTAAATTTGCTACGAGGTGCCTAGAGAAAGTGAGGAAGCACCTCCTCCCCCAGAGGGATGACCACACCACAATCCTTTCTCTGCCACTCTCCTCTTGGGATTCTGGACATGCACACACATGCACTCTGCCTGTTTTTCAAGCTGCTGAGTCTGGGACTCGAAACACATAGTCAACCATGTGAGATCCAGTGCCTTAACCACCACACTACTTGGCTGGCCCCTCCATACCCACCTACTTATTCACCTCTTCAACCATCCATGTATCCACCCTGAGCAGGCAACACCTGAAAGTGGGTGTCCATGCATATGTGTATGCACATGTGTGTAGGCACAGACACAACCCTTGATTTTGTATTAAGAGCCAATGAGAGGGAAGAGGCTTCCGTCACAACAGGTGCATGACGCAGGGTTGTGGAAGCAAAGAGGCAAGGCTCATTTTCCTAAGTGGGTTGGAGAGAACAGACTCCTTGCAGATGTCACTGGAGGATGAGTGGAAGTGTAACAGTTCTGCAAGGCTTTCCTGACAGAGGGCTTAGTAAATGCAAAAGCATGAGGTGTGAACCATATCCACTCTGCTGGCTGTGGCTGGAGCTTTTGGTAAAGCCTCTGGCAATACTGGCTTTGTGGAGGACTCACTAGAGACTATGAACAATTAGGGGACAACTGGGTGTGAGATGTCCCCTGCTGCCGTGGGACACCCAGCTAATGCTCCGCCTACCTCCCCTGCAGACACCAATGTCCTACGCTACATCCAGCTGACGCAGCTGAAGATGAACCGTTGCAACTTCCAGCGGGAAGACAGCGGGGCTGGGACCCAGACTCGGGATGTGATTGGTTGAAGCCAACCAGGGGGACTGTCTCTACTCCAACTCCCTCCCAACTTTCCATATATCTTCCCCTGACTCTTGTGTTCTCTGGTAAAGCACTTGTCACTTGACCATAACCTCTGTGTGTGGTGTTTTTTGTTTGTTTGTTTGTTTGTTTTTTTAGGAGATTTTGCTATAGGGTGGGTCCACTCATTGGAGAGACAGAAAGTGAGAAATCACCCCCCGGGGAGATGGCCATGCAGCAATCACTTCTCCAGTCTCCTCTTAGGATTTTGGGCACAGACGCACATGCACCCAGTGTGAGTTTGAAGCCTCTGGATCTGGGACTCAAACCACATTTGACTATGTGGGAGTCCAGTGATGTAACCATTATACTATCTGCTGGTCCTAGTGTATGGTGTTCTTGTGGGGATCCGGAAGGGGGACATGCCCCTGGGCCTTAGAAACCAGAGAGGCCCAGGAAGGGAGTGTGGGGTAGTGGGTATCTCACTGGGGTGACACAGCACAGAGCCATGGCCAGGGGTAGACACACAGCCAAGCGCTACCGGTAGGGGCAGGGATTACCTTTAATGCTGTATATTGTGCCAAACCCCCCATGATGCTCTGTCCCTGAGTAGCCCTGCCCACTCTCCTCCCACTGCAGGGCGGGCACAGGGCTCTACCCCCTGGGGTACAAAGGAATAAATTAAGTGTCCCCCCCTTCCCCCAATAAATAGTATCCTGCCCAGGGCCTCCCCCACCTTGTGGCATGGTGGGTGGCACAGGGCCTGGGACATTACATTCATGGCTGCCCAGGCGGGCTGTGGCAGGCAGGCCTCAGTGGGAGCTGTGGGCCCCACACAAGGGCACTGTGTTGTCCTGGCTCTGCCCCTCCATGTCCATGTCCAGCAGTGTGGGTTGCGTGCTAGGGGGCCCAGGACTCTCTGGAGTGTCTGGCCTGCTAGGAGGAGAGATGCTGAGCGGCCGGCTGAAGGAGACCAGTTTCCAGGGGTCCAGGCGGGGGCGGCTGGCGGCTGGCCGGGGCCTGGGGGCGAAGGTCAGGGTAGTGGGGCGACCTGGGAACTCAGGGAACCGCCGTCGGGTTGGGAACAGGGTCTGGGGGTCAGGCAGGCGGGGGAAGTCCAGGGGGTCTAGAGGGCCTGAAAAGAGAGGATCACAGGAGGTGAGCAGGGTGGGACAGATTGTGGTATTTAAAAGAGGTAATCTCTGGCTTCTCTTAAAAAATCTGGAATCTTGTGGGCCCACTTTCCTGTAAGGTGCTCAGCAGCACCTGCACCTGGACCAATTGCTCCCTCATCTGGGTACGACTCTGGGCAGACTCCTTAATGCTTTGGAGGCATATCTCAGTGGTCCTCCAGTTAAAGCTTCACTCCCAACTCTCCTACACAGGACTCCCCTACACTGTCTGGGTTCATTCAGACAGATCTGGGAAGAGACCTGGGCCATGACATTCTCCCTGAATGGGATCAAAACAGCATCTCACTACCTGGGTGAGGATTAAATAAGAATAATTGTAAATCAAGTAGTGCAGTGTGTGATGGGAACACCTGGTAACTCCTGCTCATGATCACTGTATCTGTGGCTGTTCATAAACTGTAGAGACCACACCTAGCCCAGAGCTCTGTAAGACTTGACAAAGTCACTGTTGCTATCATCTGTCACCTGCCTGGCTCCTGAAGGCATTAGAGTTTGCCACCTGCTTCATCTTGTTGTATCTTGGTCACCTAGAGTGCTTCCAGCAGAGGAGAATGGGGACAGGGACTCTCCCTCCCCCATGCTAAGCAGCTGTGGCATCTTTTAAAAGCTGTGTGGAAGGGGACCTGAGTGTGGGATGCCTCACTCACCGGGGCTATGGCCTGTGGGCTCAGGTGGCCCTCGCTGCCCCAGAGCCCCATCTGAGGGTGTCCGTCGGTGCCCACGGCTCACGGGGCGTGCGGCGGTGACATGGGTGGGCGTGAGCGACTGGCGGGGGTCCTTCTTGAAACTCTCCAGTTCCAGGTCCACAAGGGGGTTGGTGCCCGGTGAGGCCACTGGCGGGGAAGGTGGCGGGGAACGAGCAGCCGGTCCAGCCTCGTCGCTGTCAGAGCGCAGCAGCGAACGCGTGGAGTTGCAGTCGGACACGGACGACAGTGACACCAGGGTGGCTGAAGGCGCCAGGCCCGGGCCGGGGACCGGGTCATCTCGGTGGCCTAGGTCGCGTCCAGGAGGGCTAAGGCCCCGCGGGAAGCGGCCAGCGCGGGGGAAGAAGAGGCCATCGAGCCAGCGCCGCTGCTCCTCGCAGTCTGCAGTGCGCGCCTCTGCCACATCACCGCCCAGGCCCACGGCACCCAGCAGCGTGGCGCAGCTCAGCAGCGCCAAATCGCAGCGCCGCCGTGCACCGTGGCCCACCCGGGATGGGGGCGCAGCCGGCGCCGGCTCCCACGGTGCCCGTGCCCCAGGGGAGGGCTCGGTGGGCAGCGGCACCGTGAGGTAGGACGAGGCCGTGTAGGGGGAAGGGGGCACGCTGATGCCTCCATCCACCTCTGCGAACTCCTCTGCAATCGTGGAGAGGGGTATCACTGGTCTGCGGAGCTGGCCTCTGGACCCCGCCGGAGACTAGTGGCAAGGGGCTGCCCCTCCTCCTTCCTCCTCTGCCCCCTTCCCCCGTAGGCCCCTCCAAGAGCAAGACCGCCCAGTCCTACTAAGCTTGTTCTGGAACTATTCTCCCCCATAAACTGCTAGGAGGGAGCTCCTTGCTCCTGGCAATGGCCCTTCAAAAGAAATGCTTCCCATCCACTGGCCAGTGAAAGGTGGTCCCTCCCTCAACCCCAAATGGCTCACTCCTTTGTCCTCGGTCATGCTTCCCTTTGGCCAGAGAATGTCCCCTCCCCTCCTTTCACAAGCACCCTTTCCCTCTTACCCATCTCATTGAGGCTGGCAAAGCCAGGGGCGATGGGTGTGTGTTTGGGGGATTTGCCCAGGTTGGGGGCGCTTGATGACCACTGTTTGCTTCCTTCCCCCAGGGCCTTCAGCCTGCAGGGGGCGGGGAAACAAAACAAAACAAAACAAAACAAAACAAAACAAAACAAAACAAAACAAAACAAAACAAAACAAAACAAAACAAAACACCACCAGGGCCAGTACCTCTCTTCTCCTCCAGACCTCTCCTTCTGCAGGGTAGAGCTGGGCCCCCATGTCCGGCCCTTCTTCTTGCCCCCAACCAGTTCTTCTTTCTTTGGGGGCCCACTGCGCCCCCATGTCCCACTGCCACCACTGCTGCTGCCACTGCTGCTGCCACCACAGTCCACAGGAGTCACTGTGTGAGAGAAGCCACTCAGTTACTGGGTCTTAGGCTGTCTGTCCCTGCCAGGCTCCCAGAGCCAATTTTCTCATTCAGACCAACCTGAGAGTCCAAGAGATCTAAGTAAAACCATGCCCCTTTACTGCTGTGAGTCCTTCCATAGCTCCCCAGTGCTATCAGGAAATATGAAGCCCCTAGATAAGCTATTTCCTGCCAACTTTCTCAACCTCATCTGCCATCATTCCTTATGGTCTAATCCTTCAACCACTCATTTTGGTTGCCACCTGCCCTTCCAGCCTCCAGCTGAGTACTTTGTTCCCTTGAAAGTTGGTTACTTTCTCTTCTCTGGTCCTACCACATGTTGGATGTACCTTGGTTCCAATGCTATATGGTTGTCTTTGCATCCCCTACCAGATGGATCACCTAGGGCTGCTATAAAGTGGTTGCCCAAACAGGCATGTGGGGAGAGGGTGAATGATGGGGTAGAAAAGGCTCATAGTCAGCCTTATGCCTTTGATCTGTTAACAAAGTCTAATAGCTGCCACGTAGGCCGATTGGCTGTTTTTCCCTTCCAAGCCCCTTACCTGGGCCCAGCCCATCCTCTGCTGGCCTCCCTGGCTTTATTCCTCATAGCAGCCACAGGAGAAAGGTATATCTGACTACATCGCTGACTTGCTCAGAGCTCTCATGGGGCTCTCCCATTGCATTTAGGATAAAACCTGGGTTCAGCCTAGGTGGTGAGGTCCAGGGCATACTAGACTACAGCATGGGGGCAACATGGCCCATCTCTGGGTCTGCCTGAAAACACAGAAGAAGGCATGCAAGTGGGTGCTCAAGGGCTTGAGAAGCTGGAGGGCTGGGGAAAGAGGACTGGTGTGATGAGACCCTGTTGGGTCCTGCTTTTCTTTCTCTCTCCTGTGCACACCAGGCTGTCATAAATAAAATACAATCCAGAATCCTTACCTGGATTTCTAGGTCCTGTATTATCCAGTCATTGGGGACCCCTGACTACCAACCTGCACACTCCCTCTGACTCACTCTACTGTAGACAAGTTGGCCTACAGGGCCAACAAACATGCCACACGTGTTCCTACTTCCAGGCTTTTGTTCTTCCTCTTCCCTCTGCCAGGAGCACTCATCCCTTAGGTCTTGGATTGCTCTCTCCTTGCCAGGAAGGTCTCTGCAAACTTTACCTCCCTGGACAGGCTTTCCAGATGTAAAATGACAACTCTTCTGTGATGGTTAATTTTATGTATCAATTTGACTGGGTTAAGGGATGTACAGATAGCTGGTAAGACATTCTTTGTGTGTGTGTGTGTTTCTAGAAGAGATTAGTGTTTGAATGAGTAGACTGATGGCCCTCACCAGTGTGGGGGGCCCAGACTGAACAGAAGGCAGAAGAATGGTGAATTTGTTTTCTGCTTGAGCTGGAACACCCCTCTTCTTTTGCCCCTGAACATGGGTGCCCCTGGTTCTCGAGTCTTTGGGCTTGGACCGGTACTACACTACCAGTCTTCTCTGGCCTCCAATTGCAGATGGCAGAACTTCATGGCCTCCACAGTTCCACAAGCCAATTCTTCATATCAAGTCTCTTTCTTTTGGGGTTGTTGGAAAAATCATGATGCGTATTTGCACAGAAAAATAGAAAAATATGTTGTGCCTTTTCTGATGACCTAATACATTTCTCTGTATAGCTTATTGATTCTGATTCTGATCTGGAGAGCTCTGACTAAAGCACCTTCTTCTATTTGATTCCTTTCTCTGAGTTCCTTCATTGCCCTTATCACTACTGAAAATGATCTGCTTACTACCTGTCTCCCCCAGATGAGAATAAGAGATGGAGCCTTGCCTGTCTTACTCCCCGCTGTTCCTCTGGGTTGGCGCCAGGTTTTAGCCCACAGCTGTTTGTTCACTGATTGACTGGTCAGAGCCTTGGAGGTACTTACAGCGAATGGCTCTCAGCCGGGGGATGATGCTGGGGCTTGCAGGAGGGCTGGCCCCATCGGATCCTTTCCGCTTGTCCAGGGTTGGAGAGGCCTGAACTGTGATCTTATGCTCAAAGCCTGCAAAAAGGAAGAGACTATCCTAAGCAAAGGTTCTCTAGGTGACCATGGACATTTCTTCTGCAGAAGTGTTGAAGGAATGACTGATGGAAACCCCATCATTTTTAATTTCTCACTGCACTGTGGTCCCAAGGCCAGCAGCATTGACATCAACAGGAAACCACTTGGATATGCAAATTCTTGTGCCCTCTCTGAAAATGAGCTGCTCTGGGGATAAGGAGCAGCAATTTAACTGTGGTTTAACAAGTCTGAGAGCTGATGCCCTGATTGAAATCTACTCCTGAGTGTTCAATATGGTGGCCATTAGGGACCTGTGGCAACTGAGTACTGGAAATGTGGCTTGTCTAACTGAGGAACTGAAATTTGACTTATTTACTTAATTGTAACCCATTTGAGTTTAAATTTAAAAACAAGTATTCAGTTTGGTTGTTGGAAACACTGAAGCACATTTGGAACAACTTGAATATGTGAATCTACTTTTTCAACTCTAAAGTTTGTGAAATCTAAATACAAATTTTTGGTGAAAATGTACTGCCTAGATAGAGGTACTGTAAATATAAACACATGGTAGATTTCAAGTGAAAAAAAGGGGGACCAGTAGGTGGCATGGTGGTTAAGATGCTGGACACTCCCACATGGCCAACGACGGTTCGAGTCCTAAATCTGGTGGCTTGTTTTCTCACTTCCTCTCTCTCTGTCTCTCTCTGGTCAAATTAAAATAAATGAATGAGAGACCAGCAGTTAGCATAATGGCTGTGTTGCTGGACTCCCATGTAGTCGACCGTGGTTTGCGTCTCGGACCCAGTGGCTTAAAACTCACACTGGGCGCATGTGCGTGCGTGCCCAAGATCCCGAGAGGAGAATGAAGAAGGGATTGCGGCATGGCCATCCTCCCTGGGGGGTTATTTCTCGCTTTCTGTCTCTCTGTCTATCTCTGTCTGGCGAACGCATGCGCCCTATAGCAAAAAGAAAAACCTCTACAAAATAAAAAAAAAAGAATGAATAAATAAAATTAAGTAATTCTTAAAAAAAAAGAAGGTAAAAACATCTTCATTGGGTGCCAAGTAATTTATAGGAAATTCAGGGGACAAAGGGACATATTAAAAGATACTAGGAGAAGCAAGCAAAACCCACACTGAGGGAAATTCCACAGAACAAATCATGTGGTTCTTCAACAAATTATTGACAAAGGGAGACAGACAGCTCCATGGCTCCTGCGATCTAACCATTTTGGGAGAAAGGAAGATGTCCCACTGATAAATGGGCCTCCAGCATACAAAACTCGGTGGAGAGGCAGAAGGGAACACAACAGGCCTTCTTCAAGAGACAGACAGCTCCATGGCTCCTGCGATCTAGCCATTTGGGGAGAAAGGAAGATGTCCCACTGATAACTGGGCCTTCAGCATACAAAACTCGCTTGATTGAACTTCCAAGTTTGGGAAGAAACCGACCATCCACCAGATGACTAGAAATTGCTGCAGGACCACAAGAAATATGGGGAAGCAGGAAAATACCTCTCCCACAAGGGAAACGGATAGCTCCTCTTCATCCACACACAGTTCAATGGAAATAATGGAAATGTCTGAAAAAGAATTCAGAACATTCATAATGGCAAAGCTAACCGAGATGGAAGAGAAGAGAGACAAGGAACTGTTGAAGAGGAAGGAGAAAGGAGTCGAAGAGTTCCAGGAGGTGAGGAAATTCATGCAAGATCTAAAAGAGGAATTTCACACTTTACAAAAGAATCAGATGGAATTGTTAGAGATGAAGGCTATAATACAAGAAGTCAAAAATCTCCCTTGAAAGTATTAAAAGCAAACTAGATCATACAGAAAATAGAATTTCTAATGTAAAAGAGAAATTGGCTGGCCTAGAAAAATCCACCATGAAGACTGAGAAAATGGCCCCAAAATTTGAGAATAATACGCAAGACGTACTAGATACC